CCCCCCCCCGACAGTCAACAGGTCAGTGTGTCTATGGCTAACCTGCCGGGCAACGCGGAAACAGTCACCCAACAACAGCAACACTAAATCAGCGAACGGCTGGTTAACGATAGAAGTCGGTTTGTGGTATGTGACCTGGCCACTAGCAACATTTGATAAGCACGTGCTTCTACGGTTGTGTAAATATAATCGATCCGGATCTTTGCGGACCGCTGTGCAGATAGTATCCTCCACATGTTTATAACGTTCTACTTCTCTGTGCACAGTTTATAGGCGTTAGGCGCCTCGACTCGGTTGCTTTGTGACCACCAGATTATATTTACCTTTCGAGTTATCCAGATATCCCACCATCGCGGACGATTTTGTGTTCGTACCCTTCCCAAAAAAATTTACATGTATACAGAAAAGAATTTAATGGCCAGCATTTTTTATTCACACCAAGTCCTTCTCAGTCCTGGCATATGTGTTCTGCTATCGCCACCACACCCCTCGCGCACGTTCGAATCGCCTTTACTCGGTTTCTACTGCTTGTATTCACACAGCCTACGAACACTTTCTCCCCAAGTTGTATACTCAGAGGTCCTAATATAAAAGTGGTTCAGACGAAATTACTGTTAGATTCTCATGTATTTTTCTTTCAGACGCTCTGGTCTCCCTTCTCTTTCACTAACCAAATTCCCGCAGTTAGGTTTGGATTGTGTATATTATTTTTTCTATACATCATACCTGCAACCAAACGATATCTCCACTAATCCCAACTGGAGTCCTCCAACACCCGTGTATCACCCAATGAACTGACTGCCTTGTTCACTCCATCCCTCGTTTCTTTGGTCAACATGCTAATCGGTTTTTTTTTCTGATTTACAACGTGATCGACTGTTTGTGCCATGGCGCGAATTCCCTACGCTCATTTACTGGCTACCATTGGATCACTGTCACCTGTAAAATAATCGCTTCATCTCTTCACTCTTCGCCCCCTTCATATAAACAGATGATGTTTAGGTTACGCTTTTTTCTCTCGTTTGTTTAGTCTTTTTTGGGTATCAACCTAGCGCTCTATAAGGCGATTATGTACAGATGAAGCGCACCTGTTTTTATAAAAAAGGATTTCTTTATTGAAATACAGGGAAGCAAACAATGGGGATGAGGAATATGTGGGAGCATATTCAGAAAACACTTCCAAGTACGTTATGAAAATCAACTCAAGAGGGTTTGCAATCTGGCGGTGTATCCGTATCCTTTGTTTGAGTGTTTCGGAGGTTCCCAAGATGGACAACATTGGTTTTGGATTGTTTTGTCTGGGGTTGTGGATCTTTATCTTGAGGTTCTGAGATTAGGGTATCTGAAGGCCAAACTGATGGACCGGCGTTCTCGGTATCCGGGCGCCCTTGATGACTGAGCTCATCTGATAGGAAAACGTAAATTTAACAAACTAGTCCAAACGCTTGCGCGGAAACCGTTTTAGTCATCATGACGTTTGTTTACTCCCTGCAGTCGCAGGCTTTGTTCTGGCGGCCCTGTTGACCTTTCAAACGATAGCTTATCGATTGATGGTACAAGCGACAAATGAACAGCGTTCTAATGATTCTGCGTTACTTCCGCCTGAATGAACCGAAATGATCTACTCAAGTTAGCTTGGGGAACTGAGTCGTTCGACTTTAGCAGGTCCATTGCCAGTTTTGTACCCACTGTCAACCACTGAACACATCTGCGTCTTGTCACGTAAATTCACGCGATGCGTGGATTCGAATTACTCTACAAACATTTTCTCGCAAGCACAACAACTATGGTCGCGAAGGCTACGTGGCGGTCAGAATTAATACTTTGCGATGCCTTCCAATCACAGGATTCTGCATGATTCGGGCGTACTCGATAAAGCGGGTTTATCCGCCGCCAACTGTTCGTTCAAGATGAAAAGTGGCCTCACTGAAACGCGAGCACGAAAATTCACGTTGCACAACGTGCACGCAACCGGAGGTACATCAGGTGTAAGTTAGTTACTTCGGACCCTCAATTTGTCATTGTTTCCCCATATGTGCCAATAAGTAAATAATCGTTCAGCTGGACCCCCTTTGGGGGCCTAGCTACCATGCCTTCGGAAGAAACACGAGGGACGAGATACTGCCAGGTTGCTCAAGTCTAGACGGTAGCAGTCGATATAGAGGTCGGGTTTGAACCACAGACCTGGTCAGTGGGCTCGCACGGGAATAGTTTTCGAAACGCTTGACAGTGACTTTTCTGCTTGATAAGTAGTTTATTACCTAGTTGAGGAAAAACAATCATTAGCAACTTACATTGGTGTTAGCGAGAGACCCAACTCTACTGCGATATAAATAGTGTTCCGTCAAGCTCATTACTTACCTCTGAGGTTTGTTGCAGTTTGGACAAGGATGTCGCCTTTTGATTTGCCCTCGGAACTTACGTCGAGAGCTTCTCGCTCGTTTGACTGGCTAACTGGTTCAAGCGGTGCTCTTTGAGCTAGCCACTGCTTCTGGGACTTCTGAAGTTGCTCGGACAACCGATTCGTTATATCCATCTGGTTCCATAATTCCGTTTGGATTTGCCTCCGCATGTAATGGGCCTTCAGCATCCTGTCCCGTAATCCGTCAACCAAAGTGGTCTTCTCAGTGAGCCGCCTTTGGAGAAGTGCAATCCGACGCCTGTAACATAGTGAGAACGCCACTAGACGCTGAGGAGTTTTTACGAATTTGTTGGTGGGTTCTTAGCACAAAATAAGCTACTCTGTTTGCGGTCACCAACTCAATCTACCACGTGCGGATGACGGTGGGGGTGGGATACCTCTATTACTGACAGTTCCGGAAAAACTAATACACATCTATGTACTATCTATGCACTACTAATAAGGTAGCTGAATATTTCTCGACAGCCCATGACCGGTTTCGCCCTCCTTGGGACTCATCAGGTAGGTGCAGTCCCCGAGTTCTACTTGAAACCAAATTGTACAAAATTAGCGATATACACTCATTTGCAAACAAATTCGGTTTTGCGAGAGACTCACCTGGAACCTAGCTGAAACTCGTTTGTGATGTTTCGTGCAGTTCAGTTTCAAGTATAACATAAGGTTGACGAAAACTCGGGGACTGCGCCTACCTGATGAGACACAAGAAGGGCGAAATCGGTCGTGG